GTAACTTTATATGTGTTTGTTAGTGTTTGTGCATTACTACAACCACTGAAAATATATGATATATCAAGGATTTATTGATATCCTCAAATTGATTTAAGTGTATGATTTGGTTCGTTAGAGTTACCGTCATATGTTTATGGTTTTCACTAATTAAATGGAGACCAAAGTTTTAGAGTACTAGCACGCTATAAAATACAGTTTTGCACAGAAGCATGACTCGGACCTCGGCCATATTATTTTGTAAACTCCTTATCAGAAGTGTCAACGATGATATCTCTTAAACCAAAGAGTATGTACATTTGTAAGAAAAACAAATTACGGATCTATTGATAAAGTTCGCCAAATACCACTTACCTAAGTATTTTTGATATTTAGAAGATATTTGAGAAGTGTTTTCGAACATTCACCTTTTCAATTGGTATTTCAGTGTGATTTTAATATCTTTACAAATACAACTCCTCATGTTATCTTGATGTGCAAAGAGACAATGGATTTTAAATCAACTATCTTATCGAATCGTAACATAACAGATCTTTTGGCAACATTTGGCAAAAAAGGAAGGTTTCTGGACAGAACACGTCATTAAGACATGCATTCTTGGTAATGGGTAAAAAAACGTGTTTTCATGGAAAAATGTGAAACTCCCGTTCAATACTCGAAGTTGTATATATGTGCTCATTTATAGATATATATATACGTATTTAAAAAACATCCTCTATCGGAGACTAATCTAAACGAAACGAAACGAAACTAATATCCTAGCAACAGCATGGGAACGAAACATACAAAATGAAGTTCCATTATCGAAATTCAATTTGTAGAATATCATGTTAAATATGCTATTATTATTTATTTCAAACAACATTTTTCATTATTAATGAAATTATTTTAAATATTCATTTAATTAGCATGACAACAATAACAATGACGTTTACGGCGGACGGATGGTAAACAAACTACGCCTGTATTGCGACAATGTTTCATTACACTATGTGATAACGTCACCTGTAATGCAAGAATACACCCTTGCAAGTTCCGGGAAACAACAGGCTTGCTGTATCCATCTACATGTCGTAAAAGGCGACTAATGTGGGCCCCTGCATCATCAGGGGCTTTCTTTTGTGTCTTTTGCTAAGGGGACATTGGAGAAACCACAATTGATCTGATACCATCTGATTGCAACATTTGGAATATTTTCTTACTACTTTCTAAAACCCTTTGTTTTCCCTTGTTCCTTACTTGACAATACCTCACGTCTGGCCTTAGTGTTGAGCATTCGCCCAAGTTGGGTATGCAATGGGTTCTATCCCCAGACCAGGACATACTTAAGTACTTAAAATGGTACATGTAGCTGTTATTCCTTGATTAACGTTCAGTGTTTAGGGTTATCGCAACTAAGGTAACTGATCTGCGCTATTGAAAGGAGGCAAATACATCAATATATCCTCTCCCAAGCACACGTATACACACGGATGCACGTCCTTAAAGACCCTAGCTGTTCAAATGACGTTAAACAAAAGAAACCCAAACCGAACCAATTATGCATTAATATAGGTTTTTTTCGCCAATGGGTCGGAGCAAACCGAATGTAAATATAACCTATACATAGAAAGACAAAATACACAGTAATCACCAAGCAACGGAACACTGGTCAATATACAGAGCAATTACATTAGATGGAACTGTAAACATTCTAGGATTGTTCAGCACATTGCTATTCCATTGGAAGTCAGTTAAAATCGATTAATACATTTTTATTTCATAACAAATCCTAACAAATTTTCAATAACCACCAGTCGTTTTCCGGTTACGAAGATGAAAGAAGCTCTGCCGTCATTTGTTTTCCTTCTTTTCGACCTTTTAAGAACTATCAATGCAGCAACACATACTGACATGATAAGGCTGTATCAAAACTTGACAAAAGATTATAAAAAGAACGTGCGTCAAACATTTAATCAGTCGCATCCCACCAAAGTTAACTTCAGTTTTAACCTTCTTTCCATAAAGGAATTGGACGAAAAGACCAGCAAATTGTCTATAGTAGGAATGTTTATATTCTCCTGGCACGACTTTTAGCTGACATGGGCTGCAAAGGATTTTGGTTACATGTTCACAACGACTCTTCCACAACACATTGTGTGGAAACCCGAAATCTTACTAGTTATTCCGTATGATGAAGTCGAGTCTCTGGGTTTTGACCAACAAACTATCCGCTTAATATTCAACGGAGGGATCTACTGGTCCCCTATAGAAGTTTACCAGTCTGTATGTCCTGTCGATGTGACATTCTAACCTTTTGATGTACAGACATGTCTAATAGGATTCTATGCCTTAAGGTATTCTTGATCAGAGATATTTTTTGAAAGTGCCAGTGCTAAAATGGATCAGGTTGGGTTTTTCCCAAATGGTTTGTGGGAAGTCAAAAATACGGGTATTGAGATTAACACAATCTCGACACAGACACATGTAATACTGCTAAAATTGGAACTAAAACGGCCATCAACATTTCATGTACTTACAGACCCTGGACCGTTTTTCTTGTCCGTTTAAACGCAAACGCAACGCAAACGGAACGCAAACGCAACGGAAACGCAACGAAAACTCAACGCAAACGCAACGCAAACGCAACGGAAACTCAACGCAAACGCAACGCAAACGCAACGGAAATGCAACGGAAACGCAACGGAATGTCAACGCAAACGCACACAAACAGTTCAATTAAACACGCTCCTAAAACGCCGTTCATAGTAGACCAATTTAGATGTACTTACTCGCGGAAGCGTGTCGGTCTCTGACCCTAACTCTGACCTGTATTTACCTATACAGCGCTCTCGTGTTATTTGCACAGCGGCAGATGCAGATGTACTTATAGGCAACATTTTCCCTGTCAGCATCAAACAAAAAAATTGGAATGATGATTTGTCCGCCGATTTTTGGAGAATATTGATAATTCGTTTTGAAATGGAATTAAACTTCTTATGGCATCCGTTTGTAACTCAACAGTACATTACATTTAACATCTAATCAGTAAATCTACACGACGCCTAAACACATCCCTTTTTATGAATTGATGAGATTAAAAGTATATTTTATGTTGGTGGTTTCTCACTTATCTTTTTTTTTTAAATTTCTATATTTTCAAGGTGAAATTACGGGAATAGTCTTGAAAAATGGTTCTTCGACATCAACAATACATATGGATACGTCTAGTGGGTAGTTTATTTTTTTAGTCTCAAATTCTGAATTTGTTGCTAAAAAATATTTAATCAATTTGTCGAAAAATAATTGTCAACCCAAACTAAATTACGTACGTGTAATTGCTTGTTTTTATTTAAACTAGGCGTTAGCAAATGTCCAAAAGGAGATAAAATATGAAACTTGTGTTTGGAAAATATTGGATATGAATATCATCATATTTATTAAACAAGTGAAGTGATGTGTTTGCATAGAGTATTGTTCCTGTATTATCTTACAAATCCAACTAAAATGCTGCAAGCGAATTCCGTGTGATTATTGTTTTTTTTCTTAAAATCGTTCTTCTCTACTTATATCTCAAACAGGTATACTTTTTATGATATTCTCTTTAGTGGTATTATTTGATAATTATAATCAGTATTTATATGAATGATATTGAAGCCAGAGCGTAATTATAGGTATCTTATCTATACATCTTACAACACAACATACATGTATATATTCTATGCACCCTGTTACGCTTAATCATATTTTTTTGCTGTACTCACGGACTTAGATAATCTAATTCCGTGCTGTACTTCAAGTTACACATTTTCATTTGTCCGAGTGATGAAAACGTAATCTGAAATCTGAATTATTTATGTCATTCCAACCTTAAAACAGCCTTGAACCAAAGTTTTTTAATTGCTTTCTCTTGACCGTCATTTTGAAAAGTATATTGTACAAACAACACTGATTTCACTATCCTAAACAATAGTGAATTAATTCCAACTATCATCTGGTCTGCTTTTACCTGGCCCTTACCTTTATTATTGTTAAACGTGTGGTCACCCCTGCTACCCGCGGCTATTGTTATTTCGAAGGTAAAGACCACAAGGTTACTACCTGTAGTTTCAGTCACAGGGACCCGGGAATTTGCTACAGTTGGTTTGTTTTGACCTATCCCGCTGTGTTGAATATATTGAATGTTCTTCTTCTTCTTGTTGTGGTAAGGCGTCACGTAGATTAACTTAATCTGAGAATTTAGGAAGTATAAATTGGATATTTTCAGTGGTTAACACTATTGCTCGAAATAAGTACCACCCCTCCTTCCAACCGCACCCAAGGAATGATTTAGACTCTCGGGACCGTGTGGACGCAGATACGTCCTTTGTCGACGTATCTAGATTAAATTTCTCCAACGAAATCTGAGAATTTAGGAAATATAAATTAGATGTATCTCAACCAAAACCAAATGATTACTCCGACATATCAGGATAAGTCCGAACAAACATTATTGTAACTTATTAAATAGCTTATACTACTTTGTATACGTCTCTGATTGAATTTTACTTATCGTTTTAACTTAATTGAAATATTAAACAAGGAAATTATAAAGACGACCACCGTGCATGGGGATGTGTAACATCGGGTATATAATAATGAAAAATGAAGATGAGTAACACTTAATGCCCTTTTCATTATGCTTCGGAAACGTATGGTTGTGAGGTATAGATAATAAAGGACTTCAAGGGATTAGGGGGTTTGATTAGTGTTTATCAATTTGAAGTAACGCTATAATTATATCTGAATGTGCTTTATGTATTTTATATCAATTTAATTCAAATGTTTTAGATCACTAGTACCGTAAATTTAAAAACAAAAGTGTGTTGGAGAGGGGTTGAGCGGTCAGTATCTGACGAATGACAGCAACATGTCTTTTAAAATATTTTTCTAACATACATAATAGTTTTATTTTTCAGAATTTCATTTCTTAAATCTGCCACAAATAGGTATTTTGATAGGAAATAAAATATATCATTTATATCTTAAATAATTGGTACAAACATGTCCAGTATATAACACCGTCCTTTTGTATGGTAACTATATGTAACTTCTTTCAGATATACGATTAGCAACTGATTCGTGTGTCAAGATGTTGAATGAGTTTAGTATTCATTCCGAATTTCAAAAGAACAAATCAGACTTTACACTATCTATTTAAATTTTCATATTTTTTAAGTTCTTTTATATCTGTAAGCCCATTTTATTCTTCTTAAAAATCATAAATGTATGTTTCTAGTTGTAACTATTTTATGATAATTTCAGCAAAATCACAATGTAAATCCAAGGACTTAGATAGCATCTAATTCCGTGGTAAATCCTAACGTGTGAAGTCATCTTATATCAAAATCCTTTTGCTCATTTACCTGGATATATAAACCAGAACAGACCGGCGTGTTAGTTAGGATGACCATGATCGCTATCAGGGGTGGCCTTAGCTCAGCGGGGGTGCAATACCCATCACCGGTACTTCACGTTTAGCTCCCTGGGCATCCCCATTTCAGTAAAGCCAGAGCACACGCCTGTACTGGAAGGTCGTCTACTGAAAGGCCGCAAGGCCGTACGTAATAGCAGACGTAAAACCATCAAAATCAATCTGTATTGGCTCTTATTATAAAGTGTGCCCTGAACGAAAATAGAAATTAATATATTATTATTCTATATGATCCAAACACAAAAATGTCGAAAACCGCATAAAAATCGGTCATACCGAGATATTGACGTGTTAATTGTACGATTTTCACCTGTCCTTCTTCTCCTAATTGGCATAATCGTGACTTGTGGTGATTTGTCCCCTATCGGCGGGCGACTGAGTACCAAATCACCTGACGCGTACTGTATGTAACTCTTGTTCAAATTTATCATACACATTCATTTTTTTTGTCAAATTAGTATTCCTATTTGTGTAATCATTCAAACCAGAGACGTATATATTACACACACTTAAATCTATATTGAGGTTTTGAAAGTAAACAGACTATCATTTTCTCAAATTTATCATTCATAAAAATACATTCTTGTTGCATCAATAGAACGAAAATAAGATATAATATGGTAATTGTCACCTATTTTCTTCTTAATGTGGTTGTTATGGCTGTAGTTTGCAAGAAGTCGGAATGACATCTATATGCTTCGATGTTTAAAGAGTTTTAAAACATATCTGGTGAATCTTACTATAACTTTCATGTTCTCAAATATATCATACCCATAAAAATACACTCTTGTCGCATCAATAGCATGTTTTAACTTTATGTGACGAGAATAAGATCTTATGTGATAGTTGTCAAATATTTTCTTCTTAATGTGGTTATCATGGCTGTAGTAAGCAAGAAATCTGAATGACATCTATATGCTTCGATGCTTAAAGAGCTTTAAAACATATCTGGGGAATCTAACTATGACGATGCAGTCACGTTTTCAGTCCATGGAATATAAATGTCCTTGTATTTCAATTTTGTTATAAAAGAAGACATTTGCTAGCTAAAACTCGCCAAATGCATGCAATTATCAATTTACTCTTAAAAAGTATATCAAACAAGATAGGTGTAATAGGCTGGGAAGGTATTTGTATCAGGAAATCATATTTTCCTAAAAAGCGTTTGATAGCAGAGACTAGTCCATGGTATTGGAGAAAGTTTGTGATGGTTTGTTAAATCTAGATACATTTACACAGAAATGTTAATTTAAAAGAAAAAATATACCTCACTATATAGGCAGTTGAAGATGCATGCATCATTATTGGTAGTAAGACACAGGTAACGATATTTGATTGATCTTTGAATACATTTACATGACATATAAATGCATACCTATACCACCTATACCCTTCTACATCACCTATACGTCCTATACCCTCTTTGCCCTCCTTCATCATCTTTACTTCCTATACACCCATTTGCCCTCCTACATCACATTTACTTCCTATTCCTCCTAAACCCTCCTATATCACCTATACCACCTATACCCTCCTACATCACCTTAAATAATTATGTCCCCCTACATCACATACACGTCCTATACCACCTATACCATCCTACATTATCTAAACTCTCTTACACATATATACCTCCTACATCACCCGTACTTCCTATACAACCTATACCGTACTACATCACCTTTACCTACAATACCACCATAACCCTTCTACTTCACCTTTACTTCCTATACCACCTATACCCTCCTACATCACCTTAAATAACTATATCCTCCTACATCACCTTTAGTTACTATACCAAATGTACCCCCTATTTCATCTATACCCTCTTACACCAACTATACCCTCCTACATCACCTATATTTCCTATACCTTCCTACGTCACCTTTACTTCCTATACCCCATATACCCTCCTACATCATCTATACCCTCTTGCATCACATATACCCTCCTTCATCATCTATACCCTCTTACACCACCTACACCATCATACGTCACCTTTAATTTACTTTCTACACCTTCCTACGTCACCTTACTTTCTATACCTTCATACGTCACCTTTACTTTCTATACCTTCATACGTCACCTTAACTTCCTATGCCACATATACCCTCCTACATCCCCTATACTTCCTAACCCACCTATACCCTCATACGGCATCTATATTTCTTATACCACCTATACTTCCTATACCACTTATACCCTCCTACATCAGCTTAATTAATTATATCCACCTATACCCCCCTACATCACCTATACTTCCTATACCACCTATACCCTCCTGCATATGTACATCACATTTACTTCATATATCACCTATACCCTCCTTCATCACCTATACTTCCTTTACGACCTACACCCTTCTACATCACCTACAAATGTAACCTGAATTTACCATCTATGCCCTCCTGCATTTATTTTGTTATTTTATCTTGTTATAAGTTATTATGTTCATTTAATTTATTTCAATATTTTTATTTCATTTTATTGATTTATTAATTAATTTGTTTTATTCATTTAATCATTATTTTTATTTCATTTAATTAATTAATTTGTTTTATTTATTCAATTTAATTATTTATTGATATTTTGAAGCCGCTTTTGGCGAGAGCCGAGCGGCTTATTTTTATTTGTGGCGGTTTTTGCCATTCGTGATTTAACCCTAAACACGTTCTTTATTAGTTTTTTCAATATTTTAAATACTTATTTGAATACTCATCCCCATTTTATTAAATATTAAAAATTAAAAATAATGTGTCCTCTTAATTCAGCTGAAAGAAATACCGAATACACAACTAGTAAAATTGCTAGGTCTCAATGATTTTCCACGGCGTAATCAAAGTCAATTTATTGTCAATGTTGGCAGGGGCCTTGTACCTCTCGAACCTCGCAGGCAGCACCCCCGATACATATTGCGTGTCGAGCACAGGACCACGGACTTTGATAACAATCTAATTCCGTGACAGGACTTACATGATTCGACCTGGACGTAAACAAAACCCACAATATAGACAATAAAATTAACGAAAAACCATACACACATAGAGATAAAACTACAAATATTTTATAAAATGAAACTCGCCGTTTAGACGCACTAATTATATATCTTCAATCCAGACTAACCTGGTGTCATTATGAAACCATCAGCCCATCAGTGGTGGAAGTATTTGTAGATTTAGTGTAATTTGATTCATATATTCATATGAACAGAATGATGTAAGAATGGAAATTAAATATTTAAAATATACAAATAACCAATTACTCAATTACTTTCTACTTAAAATTTTACGGGCCAATTAAGGAACGTGTATAGACATGCATCCATCAATCAGCACACGAAGCAGCCCAAATATTTGAATTTAAATATAAGTCATTGCTAAACTTCCGACCGATTATTTCACGTATTTATCTATTTTATTTGTTTATTTATTTCGTTTTTAATTTGCAAACTTTATTATCCATTTAACTAAAAAAAAAATATACAAAAAACAATCAGCACTCACATATTCTTAAAATAACCTGCACATCGATCGTTTTCTTACATAACCAGCAAAACGCATGTTCAACGCACATTCAACGCTAAAGTTAAAACGCACAACAAACAGTCAACGCAAACGCAACCCAAACGCAACACAAACGCAACGCAAACGCAACGGAAATTCAACGCAAACGCAACGGAAACGGAACGCAAACGCGACGGAAACGCAACGCACTTTTAGAAAAGAAAAACGGTCCAGGGTGTGTAACACACTTGTACCTACATGTATAATAGGACTTTTGAATGTTTTGGTGTTTCTCATCCCCGCTGAGTCGGGAGAACGTGTTAGCTTCTCGATCACCGTGCTGTTTGCCATGGCTGTGTTTATGACAATAGTGACCGACAGTCTGCCAAGTAATAGTGAGCCGAACGGTCCTCGATTATGTTACTTACTGTCAATTGATCTAGACATCAATGCCTTGGTAACTGTTTGTGCAATTCTTGGAATGCGTCTCTACCACAAACCAGACCATCAGGAGGTACCTCAATGGTTTAAGTATATAGTTTGTAGTAGCCGCTGCTTTTAGAAAAGGCAAGTTGTAGAAATGAAAGCCTAGTCACTGCTAAGGCACAAATGTACTGTTTTCACTTGGCCAAACGCGGAAAACTGCAGTGCTGAGATGCATAAATATGTTGACACTGTTGACAAGATGGGAACACCGGACACATGTTTATGGAACCTATTACATGGAGAAAAGTTGCAATGTCCTTCGATCATGTTTTCTTCGTGGTGTTCATTATAGGTTTGCTTACAAAAGATATAGCTGCTATATTCATATATCTGTAATCAGTGCTCATTATATAGTTTGTAGTAACCATTGCTTGTCAAAAAGGTAAGGGGTATGGATAACTGCCTAGTCATTGACAGAAATCTGAAAGGTACGTCATAAATAATTATGTAATGACATGGCCAAAGAGGGACATTGCAGCCATGAGAGGCAGGAATTAGGTGACATTGTCAACATGAACAGAACACCGGATACATGTACATTTACATTGAGTTTTGCAGTGTCATTCGATATATTTGACCTTGTGCTGTTTATTAAAGCTTTAGTTACATCAAAAGTATGCTGCTGTACCCATATCGCTGTAATTGCAAACTGAAAAGAACTTATTCCTGTCGTTTATAACAATATATTTACATTTGCTCTTTATTGCCACTATATAACATTACCAAAGTCAGATCCGTGTTATGAGACCATAATACTGGTGTAGTGATATCTCCACGGGTCCAACTTACTGCCGGATCGCTATTAACCGTTTAAGTAAGAGTCAAATATAAATGTGAATTTAATATATTGATTAATCAAATTATTGAAATTGTATCGATGTTTTTGTGTATATTTCCACGAACTATATTTTTTAAGTCACAAGACAACATTCCTTGAGCAATTTCATGGGCTGTTCTATTTCTTGAACAAACACCACAAAATTCGAATTTAAAAGTGCGTTGTTAACTATGATATGAGCATTAAAACATGAACATGTAAATATAAACATAAATAGCATTCTCGTCCGTGTTATGGTCCGATAACACGGAACAGAATTGCAGACAAATACTCATATCGCGCTAAGGCGTGTTTTTCATTTTATCTGCAATCCTGTTCCGTGTTATACATGTAGGACCATAACAGAACAGAATGATGTGTAATGCTTAAATAACTTATATTTCGTGAACATAAATGAAGTGGTTTGGGGTATAAATTGAACGATTCTGCGTCTGTTACTAAGGACGTATTGACGTCTACAGGGAGGGGCATTTGTTGATTCACAAAGAAGGTAGCAAGATCTTTCTTTGAATACAATATTATATTATCGATGTGATCTTTTAAAAAAATGCGTAAAGGTTACATCACGTACAAAGTAGTATAAGACAAGCTCGGACTCACGTAATGTATCCCCTTGGCATTGGTGTATCACGCGTCACTTTTATTGTAGATCGGTGTTGATCAGTGGTAAGATATAATTTGATCGGTAATTCGTGAGTATTTTAATAAATCAACCAGTATTTCCATCATTGTGTTAAAAACTGTCTCAGCCGTAAGATAGAAATCATGATTTTGTTCCACGTCATGGCCAAAAGCTAATCACAAATACATATTATAGTATATATTCGATTTTGAGAAGCTACACTTCTCCGTATACATTTGTTGTTTTCATTTCGTTTTGGTGTCATGTTGTGCAATTTCCGACCTATGACATTTTTCTTTTTTGAATTGAGTGGGTTTTTTTACTCACTTTCCACAAAGTAAAATATGTGCCAACTGAAAACGCTTGTTTTATATGCAAAAAGGTTTCATTATAAGAATTGGTAAGGTTTACACATTCTGTTACACCAGCAGAAAACGCATATTACAATGCATGTTATAGTATTTTTTATTGAAATAAGGAATATTGTTCTAACTGCAGGCGGTAGTTGTACTTTTCATTTTTATTTCTTTTTCTACCTTTCACAATTAATGTTTTGGTCAAGTCAAGTCATGCAGATAAACCTCTTCAAAACAGATTACGAAATATCACCGAAGTGGGATGTTACTGGCTGGTATTTACTTTCACACCACACTGCGTCCATAGAAATAGCCACAATTGGTAAACATTGGGTCTCTCATTATGTTGGCTTATCTTTGTGGTTCATGGTTTAGACATATTAAAAATGTGTTGCGATTTCTTGCAGATTGATGTATGAGGATCTGCTATTGTGTAGCTTAAACAAATATCATTGATATATCACGATAACCAAACCTTTTTCTGTCGTGACAATCAAAAGTGTCGGGTATAGTTAATGGATACCATTAGCGGTAAATGGTTTACAAACACATTTCCATTTATTATTATCTGTCGTATTTACCTTGCGCTATTGAACAAGAGTATTTCGTAATTTCAAATATTCCCTTTGTTAGGTGATGGAGGCGTGTTGTCACTGACAAACACTGGTTAAATAAACCGATAGAACAGTGTATGTTATTAATGAACAATACATTCTAATCGATGAGGAACTTTCGAGATCGATTTCTCCAAAACAAAGAAATTATTTAGAAGATTGGATGTGTTATTAATCGTGTATTAACATGTTGATTTTATAACGTTCCATGATTAAACCTTAGATGAAATTAATACGGTATCTATATATATTTATATATATAAAGTTTATTTATTTTTACAACAATTATAAAACAAGTTATTTCAACTTATATTAATCACTCTTGTTGGCACGGATGTTGGCACTATGGAAGGGAACCTGAGTACCCGGAAAAACCCCACGTGGTCGGGCAGATGACCCATACCTTTTCACGTCCTATCGGAAAATCGAACCCCGGCCTCCTTAGTGAAAGACAATTGCGCTATCCACTTATCATCCGACCATACGAACGGTATATATGCTAGGCGTGTTACTAAATAGACAAAAAGCTTTAGCAATGGAGCGGATGATTGGTATAAAGCTTTTTTAAGAACCGTAATGAATGCATCAGAAAGTTTTTGCCGCTTCAATACCCTTTTAGCAGAGGACAACAACTTTACCCGGTATAGCAGGGGAGCCCGAGATCGCAAAGTAGAACACACTGGAGTGGACACCAATGGAAACCTCGACGATTTGCTGGACTCTAGGATCAGGTCAAGCTTGATAAACCAAAAGGTATAAAACTAGTGATATATTGTTTCAATCTAACTGTGTTTGGTCTTCTTGTCAGCCAAGCTATCTAGTCGTTTCTAACTGCTGGTTTACGTTAAATATGGCAATGGAAATAGTAGGTTTGAAACACTTACCAGGTCCTCATTTTAGGTACGAAAACTTACTTAATTTTCAAAAAGATCTTGCAGTTTTTAAATTAGAGAACATCCAGTATACATCCGATCGTAACAATAATTAAAAGACTTTATTTCCACAATGGTATCGGGGAAGTATTCCAAATGACAGAAACAATCATTTGAAAGTTCAACAACGAAACATTTTCAATTTTAAAGAATGTGAGTGCCAAATACACCCTAACCATACAAACATATATACCATGTAGTCCTTTACCTATCTTTTTCAATGAATTTATCGTGGAAATTACACAAACAACATCCCACCAAACATAACAAAATTGGGTACACAACATCTGCTTGAGCGAGGGAGATGTATAGCAATAACTGAAAAATGGCATCAAAATATAAGATTAGTGAAAGGGTAAAAAATAATGAATATATGTACAAAAACAAAAATATAAATAGAAAAAACACAGTTATTATTGACTTATATTCTTATATAAAGGACACAATTTTTTTTTTAGCAAAATGTCCACAAAACCGTTATTTAAACCAAAAACTGATCAATCTAGAACAAAACTTGAACACAGGAACGATTTAAATGGAAACCATTGAAAACGTACAAGGGAAACGGTAAGCTTTTTCTGCTTCATCGACAACTATTTGAATATATATTATCATCTATATACTACTTTATACCACCTACCGGTAGCGTGATAAATTCATAATCATTGTTTGTCAGTATGAGAAGAAGTTGAGAACGACTTGAGAACAACTTGAGAAGGACTTGAGAACGGATCTTCCCTTTCACCAGCACTTGGGAACGTATTTTTCAAAAAAGAACGTCTGCTCTTGCCAGATGACGTCCTAAACCGGAAATAGTGTCCACACAAAAGTGATCCGCGTAAGAAAATAGTCCGTCATAAACATTTCAATGCAAAGTAACGGAAAAATATAAAACTTCTATTTGTTTACGATTGTCACAGGCGATCGTTGATCATTGGGCTAAGAAGTCGTTTGGAAAAAAACGGTATTTAGTTGATTTTTTGGAATGGAGAAATATATAAGGTAGTAGTATAAAGATGATAAATAGTTTATCATACGGTATTTTCAGTGTATGTCGTTCAATCAATTTTTCATCACTCGCATGTAGATAAAATCTCCAGTCCACCTCAACAGTGTGATAATCTATAATTCATGACAAGTCACACACAACAAAACAATTGATATTTGTAGGTAATAACAAAGTTGATATCTATAATTCACGTATTTTGCCGTACCCTGGGATAGTCAATCAAAGCCATAAAAATATAATTTTCAATGGGGTCCACCATGCAAATCTAGGACATGCACAATAAAGTCACGTTATCAAAGCAAGGTTAATCATAAATGATAAACATCGACCGCCATATTCCGTTTCTGCGTATTGCAGAGTTATCTCCTCTTGTGAGCAGGTATTGATTGTTGCGGCATTGGTTTGTGTGAGAAAATTACATCGTTTTCTCAAAAATTGATGACGTTACTCTAACAAACCAATGACGTAACAAGCAATACCTGCTCACAGGAGAAGATAACTCTGCAATACGCAAAAACGGAATAAGACAAATAGTATACTTCCCAGTGATATCATAATAAAGAACACATAACTTGCGCATATGATTTTATTGTTCTCCTTAGGAAACGTTGAGATTCTGAACCATAAACACAGAAATGACAATTAGAGATCTTTTGCGAGAAACGTTTATGTACTGTTAATGATATAGACTCTTTACTACATTGTTTAAGCTCACACAATATAACAACTGACGAACAGTGCCTCCCGATGTGTATACAATAGCATGTTTACAGTAAAAAGTGACCGGAACAAACAGATGTGTTGATAAAATAACTATCGGCTATTTCTGTAAATAACCCTGGAGAAAAGTAGAAGACATGGTTGGACTACTTTTGATCGCATGGCATGAAGTGATAGCTGGCAGCGTATTGTTGTGCTTGCGAGGAGGCGAATGGTACAGTGTTTATAATAATAGCATGCAACATTTGATATAGCGCCCTATCTAGCTAGAATAAGCCACTCTAAAGCGCTTTACAGTACATAGATATACAATTTATACAATCAATTCAATTAGCATATGCATGAATCAATACAATCTTTGAGGAATTCGCAGGAGCTGGCCTATCAGGCGCTAACTACCAGACCTATGCCACCTGCGTGTGTACTTGCTATTTATTGTGTTCTGTTTGTAGTGGGACCGTGTTTCCAACGGTATCATTTATAGTACCACTATGAGTTCCATCTCAGACCATTTTATAATCCACCTGGGTTGTTGGAATTGTGTGGGCAGGAGGAAAAAACTTTCTCTGAATATTACATGCGTACCACTTCGCAGATCGAACCCCGGCCGCCTGCCTGTGATGCAATTGTAGACCATGCTTTAGAACTCATCGTAATTGTAATCTCAATACTCTTTAAACATGTCCATAGACATTTGTTTACAAACTTATTATGTTTTAGATTTTCGTTGGTTAAGAACAATCATAGTATCAAAGTACCTTCAGGTTCATTTCAATGTTTTTATATAAAGTAAATAAATAAGTAAACGAATGAAATATTTATTATTTCACGTTTAGTTAACCACAATGTAAATATTCAGTCAACATATGTTTACTGGTGTCTGCTTTATAATCTGATATTTATCTGATCGCAAATATTAAAGATGACAAACGCCAGATGTCTACACTCAACAAAGCTTTATCCAGGAAGGCACATGGTAAATAAAAAACAGATACACAAAAGAGTTCCGACCAAGGGGAGTTACTCTTACTGTAAGGTAGCGCCCTACCAATAAGCCAATCAATCGTACAAGTCAATACTGCCATATATATTATATGGTGGCGGATGTCTGAATAAATCATCTTCTAATCAACATTCACTTTTCCAATAAAAGACCAAGCACAAGTAAACACAAGTGATATCTAAAAGTTACAGTTATTCTCGGTTAATTACAAGGTAGAAATTCTGTGCTAAGGTTTTCTTCATAAAGCTTAGTTCGAGCTAACGTTTTATTAGCTTACCTGGCCCGAAGGGCCTAGTTAGCTTTTGCCGTCCGTGAGTCGTCCGTCCAGCGTCATTTTTTTTATACGACTTCTTTTCAGGGACCAATATGCTTATGGTGACGATTTTGGTCAATAGCATGCTTGGATGAAGGGCTACAAAGTTTGTTAAATGAGTGGCCTTGACACATTTAGAGGTCACTGGGATTTAATGTGTAAAAATATACCATGGTAATGATACCTGGTCTGAAGCATGCTGGTAGAGAGGGCTTCCAAGTTTGTTGAAATTGATGTCCTTGAAACACTGAAGTTCAAATGTTTAACCTCCCTATATGCCTTTGATTGGATCAGTGTGGCAATAACAAAAAACATAATTGCAATCTACTTGCACATTTAAATAGCATACACTAGTAATAGGTTTCAATTTTGGACTTTTTTGTTTTTGCAAGAGTATTAAGAAGATAAAACTCGGGTTTCATCAAATTTCCACACTTAAACATTTCTTTAATTAAAAAATCATCTTTCATTTTGATCACTTAATTATCCTGACAGAATTTATTAAAAAAAGGCCCCAGACCCTACCAGTGACATGAGATATATAGTTTCTGTTTTTGGAGAACTGAAATGTATATAATGTTGTATTCACAGTGATATCATACACATAAGCAATAAGCGACAAAAATATGTTCGGGCATGACAAACTTGTATAGTCGGTGTTCGCCTGGACATAAAAAGAGCCTAATTCAGCCATTGTCATTATACCGGTTATAAAATTGTTATTGAATATGGAATTTTAAACTTCCCCTAAGCCTTACAATTCTTATTAAAATAGGTCTTAATTTACGAATCTATTTCAACTCTGTGGCTACGAAAAGATGTGAATGT